CTGCAACACCATTAACATTACAACTGAGTATTTTGGATTCATCTTGAATTGACATCTGTTTTGAATCAAACTTCACAGCCTAAATTCCCTCTACTGCAGGACTGGGGTTAAAACTCCCATATCCTGACACTAGCTCCAAAACAGCTCTGAAGCAAACAAATTAGGTTATGATTGGTGCTAAGACCACAACTTAAATCACTGCCAAGTTGCTGCTCTGCCTGAGTTACACAACAAAGTGTTGGATATGTAATTCATAGCCTACTTCCTTCCACAATTTGTGTTTGCTGGGTTTACACTGCAGCAGTGTCACCAGCCCTGCCTTCAGGGACTGTGCTACAAACAGAAATTAGATGTTGCTGCTTCCTCCAAAGGAGCGCTTTACTACATCCTGTGATGGCTGCTCTATCCAGTCCTGGATTCAGCAGCCCCAAAACTGATGCAAAAATGAGCAATATAGCCTGCCATCGGTTATGGTTGTGGGCAGGCTAAGAAGTCGTTCCACCTGTTCAGGTCAGCGAGCCCATTACTGAGCAATGGGGAAGGTCTGAGTCCACTGACTAAAGTCTGATACTCAACTTGTAACAACAGATGGGAAGCAGGGTTAGTTGTTTCTGTGTCTCTGCTTGTGCTGTGGGTGGGGCTTGTAGCGTGAAATGGTACAGATTTCACAGCAGCCCAGTATGTCCTCAAAAGATGCTGGAGATTATTTGAACACCAGTGTCAGCTGATATTGCTTGGAGCTTTGTTGGGAGCTTATCTCCTATAAGAAAAGCTAGAGACTTTGGGGCAAACACTGCAGTTTCCAAATCTTAAGGAATCACAAATAGCTTCCACAACACTCATAATGTCGCATCTGGTGTATGGTTCCTTACTCAATGGTTGTCCGTTAGTGTCACGCCCATATGGTCATCCCTCAAGTGTGAGCCAAGACAGGAAGTGTTGGCAGGTTATGTGCTTATGGAAGACACAGCATAACAGCCCATCCCAATCTGCTCTCACCAGATGTCATCCACATGTGCTTTCCAGCATGGGTCACTGAATATTAATTTGGAACCATACTCTGGTTGATTTTCTCCCTCCCTAACAAAGGATGCTTAAATCATGCATAGTTCCCTCTGACACTGTCCTAGCTGAGTTTAGTTAAATTATCACAGACCAGAGATTAAACTTTGGACCTTCCCACAGTGTATGGTTCAGTTGGCAAATTATCTAGGGAGTTTGACGTTGAGGCATCGGGGAATTTAAACATAAGAAAGCACCCGAGGAACTAGAGTTACACTGGGAATAGCTTTTACTTATCATTGTCCTTTCAGAGAGGCTAAAAAAGCACTTGAATGGGAAATCTGTATAATAAACAGCACAAGCTCAGAATATCAGTACCGTGGAGATACTACAGTATTAACCCATTTTAGGAAAAGGTGGACTTCTTATCAAAACTGAAGTATTTTAAAACCTAATTTTTTGACATATCAATAAATTCTCTTTCAGGGGATAACAGGAGCCCAAACAAACATAAGAACATAGGAATTGCTAGATGAGAAAAGATCAAGGTCTATCTAGTTCGCCTTCTACCATTCTAGTAGTCACATGTTACCATAGTAAAAATAACACTAACCCTTGCATTTGATATAGCACTTTTCACGTCTTCTAGACGTCTCAAAGTGCTTCACAGAATATACTATAAAGTGAATTGATTGTATATTTTGTGGGAGAAACGTGGCAGCCAATTGCACACAGCAGTGTCCCACAAACAGTTGTGGATTGAGTGACCAATTTATTATTATTATTATTATTTGTTTACAAAACAGAGCAAAAGACATGTTGTATGGGCACATGTACCTCACTGCAGGGCAAGACCTCATGGGTGCAGAGTTGTGAAGGATAGTTAAGGATACTAGAAAGTATTTATTTAAACAGAGCCCAATCAAATTGAATTGACTGTATATTTTGTGGGTGAAACGCAATGTCTGACAAACAGTCTTGGATTGAATGATCAAATTTTTTTTTGTTATAGGGATTATTATCCATGACAAAGCGATCCGCCAATCGACTAACAACCGGGTTCCTACTTACTGCTAGGTAAACAGAGGTGTGTGGAGGAAGGAAACTTGCTCAACGTTTCGTTCTGCCAGGAATAGAACCCAAGTCTCTCGCTTGCGAGGCTCTAACTGAGTTATCTGTTTCTCGCAAGCATACTACACTTGTCGTATGTCATGACTTAAATTACTCATGTGCTGTATCCAAAAATATTATTTTCTGAAAGAAATCTATCTAATCTGTATTTGAATAAATCAATACTTTCTGCTTCCACCGTCTCCCAAGGGAGTCTGTTCCATAGATTTAACAATGAGGAATTTCACTCCCAGATACTATGGTAAACAATGAAAGATTCCAAAAATTTAGAACATTCAGAATATGGAGAAAGAACAGGGGAATGAGATTCCAGTAGATAACACCAGGAGGGGAGGTCACAGCAACACAGACATCATAGGCCAAACACACTGCTGCGTTGTAAACAATCTACGAGTTTGTGAAATGAAATGAAATTCTGCTGATACTGAAAGCTTCGGACTTCAAATCTTGTTCTTTGTTCAGCTGGGTGTCTGACACATACAGAAACCCATCACCATGCTTAAGAGTATCGAAACCAAGGTGAGATTTCCCTGCATCCCACCTACACATGGAAATTCCAGAGATAGAATTTTGGAATTGAATGCCCACTCTCTCCCTGGAGGGAAGCATCCTGCTTACCTAATTCCGGAAAGTATTAGGCACAGGTTGGCAAGATCCAAGACTTGGGGACCCCAGAGTGTGCGTTGGGGTACCACTGGAGTCTAACTGCAGAGCCTGCCATTGATATTGCTGTCTGGCAAGCTTTCCCGCTGCTTGTCCAACTAGGACCACCCTACCCATTAGGGCTTTGGGTTGCAGGGTTAACTGGAGCTGAGTGGGATGACTCCCTGCCCCCAGTGACTGGTCTGCCTTGCAGGTCCTGCCGATTAGCCAGGGTGGCTGGGCTATCATCAGCAGTGACCTGTAATACTGCAGATCCGCCTGGCTCAGAAACCGCAGTACTGAGACCGCCACAGAGGGCTGGCGTGATTCTGATATTCTGTTGCCAGATGTATCACTTTGGAGCCAGTTCAGCTCCAAGAAGATCCCGCTTTAAATCACCACCAGAAAAAGCTCATGTTAGCTTCACAATTGAACTTTGGGTCACAGTCACCACCTCTCTCCCTTCTGCCTACCTCCTCTTCTCCCCTTGGTCTCTAAAAGTAGTTTAAACAGCATGTATTGTTACTCTTGGATTTTGCTCAGCATTGGTAAAGAGGAGCTCAGATGTGGAAGATGTACATTTGATTTCTCATCGAGGCTGAGTTGGCTACCCTCAGCTGATGTGGAAAAGTGCTACAGAGAAGCATCAAAAATTTGAAGTCAACTATATGGAGAAAAGAAGAGATGCCAGTAAAGCCTCCTGTGGCACCCCACTAATTCCCTTCCACCATCCAGACCAGACCAATAATATGCTGCGAATATTTTCCTCCTTGTTGATATGTTTGTTTTGTCAATCTTTAAATAATTAACCATGAACGATAAATTGGGGTTCGACACAGAGCTAGATGAGTGGAATCAGAAAGGATCCGTTCATTTTGTCCAGCCAGACTATTTGAAATTGTAACAGGAAACTATCATTTCTGAAGAACCCCAGCTGAACAGGCAAAGGTTCAAGAGTCTGCTAAACAGATTATTATCTGGAGTCTGAATTTCAGTTTTATTGTCTCAGGATCTACTTGACGGTGAAAGGCTCATAACATTTCATTCAGTGTTAGATCAGGTATTGGGCTTCCAAAATATTCAGCTTTAATGTACGAGTAGGTCTGATATGTGTACTTGTCTAAGTATGTGCATGTGTACTTATTTGTTCAGGAATGTGTGATATGTGTGAGTATGCTTATTCATGTCAGGCATTCATTTTTTGATTATGGTCCATGAATGCAAGAAAAATAATATAACATTATTCTTTTCAATAATGTGATAGTGTTTAAAAGAGAAGAAATGATTATTAGTGTATGTAAGTGCGGTGATTTGAATATTTTCATTTGAAGCTGTCACTTAGGCAATATGAATGAAACCTTCTTGTTCTATGTTTTGAGTAAACATGTCAAAACAGTTGTCAGAAGAAAACATATTTTTGAAAAATATATCTTTAATTTGATCCTGTTTTCAATACGAGCCTAATAAAGCCCCTGTAGACTCCATCAAATGGAACAAACCTGAAGTGCAACTTGTAGCTTAAGGTACCATCCAGGATGTTTCCTTCATTAATTCAATGTACAGTAAAGTTACATACTGAAGCCCCGTTGTAATTAATTGTTTCTCTGTTCTGCACTGAACAATATCAAACCATTAGTGTCTCACTCTTTTAAAATTTTCAAAGAAGGAGCAAAAGAGATTATAAAACTATTACAAATAAACAATAATAAGTGTACTAAGTTTTTCAGTGCTAATTAATAATCATGGTTCTGCCCCTTTTCCATAGTGTACTAAGTTTTTCAGTGCTAATTAATAATCATGGTTCTGCCCCTTTTCCATTTCTTTCCTGCATAAAAGAAGTACAAAATCCAATGTGTTAAAATTCCAGTGGAGTCATTGGGGTCAACCATAAGCTAATCTTGAATAGTAAACTTTTTGTTATGTGTTTATAATATAACCCATTGAGACTTTCCAAAGATGATATATCATGGATAATGTAAATGTCAAACAAATGCCCACAACGCTGATTCATTAATGATTTCTTAATACAGTAGAACATCTGTAAAGAGCAAACAACTGTCTTTTCTTTAAATTGAGAAAAGAATCGATTGAAAGGCTGATGGTGACTGAATGGTTAACCAATCCTTTTGGGATGAAAAACAAATGACAGATGGAGAAGTACTACTCTTAAGTATGTGGGCTCCTGCAGGATGGGAATTTGTAGCAATTCTGGTCTGGGTACTCACTCTGCCTCCTTTCTCAGGGAAACACTTGCATCCTGCGCTGCAGTCTCTTCCATTACACGGCCCTGAGTAAGATTTTCCACCCTGCGGAGAAAGACAAGCAAAATCACAACATGACTCAACTGATACCCGGCTGTTACATATGACAAATCTGTCAAAAGTTTAAGGAACCTTTTATATCTTTTATTTGAATGCTCTTTTAATATAACACAGACCACTTTCATAATCTTAAACAAATACACTGGTGCTTTTGACCTCTGGATAAACTTGGAACACAAACGGTACAGCGAGCATTTGGTGGCAATGGCAAGATGACCCTGATGGAGCTGGCCGACCTTCTGTTCATGTGAGCAGTAATGCCACCCGTCACATGAGCAGTGCTGTCATCACCCAGTCGTGCTGACTGGCGACCATGCCCCATTATAACAATGGTTGTTTTTTTATGGAACTGAATACCATGTTATAGTAGGATTCTAATGCATTAAGATAAATACATTTTATATTTATATAGTGCCCTTCATGTCAGGAGGGTGTCTCAAAGTGCTTGACATTGTTGGCTGGGCACCTGAGCTTGGGGTATGTGGAGCCGAAAGGGGTGGGGAGAGGAAAGATGAGCGAAAGCGCAATTAAAGAGCTAAGTCTTGAGCTGGCTTTGAATGTAGCTAAGGACAGGTGAGTCAGAAGGCCTCTGGGATGGAATGCTGTATGGTTGAAAGCTGCCTCAGGGTGGGGCAGATTGGGTGGGGGACATGAATCAGGCCAGAGTTTGCTGAAAGGGGCTTTTGTTGAATTAAAACTGTGGAAGTGGACCCCAGGCAAACTGATGTTAGCCACCGTGAACCTAATATGATGTTCAGGCTAATTATTAAAAACATTTAACTAAGCTGTTATAAAATCTCCTTCCCTTTTCCACAGACCACTGCATTCTTAAAATAAATTGTGTTATGTGTTCTGATTTTCTAGGTAGTTAAAAAGCAGTCAAGTAATCAAAAACTTCTCAATCGTGATTTCATTTTCAACAACCTCCGAAACCCCTCCCCCACCCACCACCACCCCAAACTCACTATACAGAGTTAAAATAATGCAATTCATCCAACACAGCGCTCAGTTCAGTTTGACAGGACATGTACCTAGGCTGGTCATAAACAAATGAGAATTGATATGGAAACTACCAGGTTAGCAAATAGGAAGAACATCAGGAGACACATGTACTCCATGGAGAGAATAGAACCTGAGAGCAGGTGTTGATTTACTCGTTGCTCACCATCTCCAAACAGCAACAAGGCAGCAATAAACAAAGCCTCAAGAGGATGCTGTGGTACATGACCAAATTTGTAAAGTTCAAAACCCTAGAAGCCATGTTCAGTTCTCTAGTTGGGCTGCATCTGGAGTACTGAATGCTGTTCTGGTTATTGTGACATGAGGGGATCATCCAGGCCCTGGAGGCAATGCAGAGACAAGCAATAAAACTGATCTTCAGAACAAATAAATAATCAAAGGCACTTCAGGCTCAAAAAGAGACATCTCAATATGAACAAATCTACATATATCAAAACTTATTGGAATAGAAATAGTAAAACCCAGAACCATATTTTCAGATATACCAAGGCTAGTGACAGGTTAAGGGCTGTGAAGGCCAAGTTAAAGACAGTATTTACAGGAACTGCCACTTTATACAGGAAATGGTACGGCCTCTTGCCCCACAAGTGCTGACTGACTAGCAGCCATTTTTAGGATGTCCTTGTATAACGCAGAGCCCATGTTTATGGACCCAAACCACCACAGCATGTAAAGTCAGCCTCTTTTGCACAGCAGGTAATAAACAGCTAGAAAGGCCTACCTGGATGGGTGGTTGAGGCCAGGATACTGGTCTCAATCAAGAAACAATGTGATGCTGTTGTGGGAAGAGTGGAAAGGCTGGTATTTTGCAAGGAGGAGATCAAATGGGCCCAAAGGATTCTACAGCCAAATCTCTCTCATGATCAAACACACAGTCACTACCCTTTATAGTACACCCTGTGAAGCACTTTGAGACTCCTCCAGACATGAGAAGCTCTATATCAAATGTAAGTATTATTATTATGAGCAGCCTTACACTGATTGGATGCTTTCAGTTAATAGATTACTGTCAAATCTAAATCTTTCTCCTTCCCCACTTTTAACATTAGATATTTCTTACGAGGTATATCTTTCAGGGTTTGTTTGTCCATTGTGGATAAGTCATTGCAGTGGGTTGAATATTCACTAATTAGTGAAAGGAATTGGATGACAATTTCAGAAGGAACAATAAATAGGTACAGGAAAAGAGTAGGGAATTTGGATTGGAATAGAAAGTTCCAGTAGAAGGACCATCTGCCTATGCATAAATGGTTTTCTTCTGTTGTAAATAGTCTAGGAGTCTAGCTAGTATGATTATGAGCTTTAAAATCTATCCATCATTATTCCTATTCCATCTCTTTAATGTTCAGATTCCTTGCAATCGTGAGTCACCTTGTAAAAGTGTTTTGTGTCATGAATAAATCTTAGTATTACAAGTACTTTCTCCACAATAAATAACTTAGAGAATTTGCATTTTAGTGCGGAGAACAATGGAATGTCTCAAAGGAATTGCTGTGTAGTGAGTGATTTCAGGGCCTTAGGACTTTTTCCTGAAGTGAATGGTACTATATAAGGGCAACTTGTTGTTGTTTTTGTTGTTTGTTGCTTTTTGCAGCACAAAAGATTGTTGGCCAAGACACCGGGAGAAAACACTTCTCTTTTCAAACCACTGAGCTATAGGACTCCACAAGTAACCCAAACAAGCAGACAAGACCTTGGTTTACCATTGTATCTGAAGGACAACAACCTCCAGAAAAGCAGCACTCAGCCAGTACTAAACTGAATTGTCAGCCTAGACTACATGCCTATATGGGGCTTGAACCCTAAACTGTTTGACTTTGAGGCAAGAGTCCTAACAATTAAACCAGGCTGACACCTCTCTCCCCACCACCCCATTCTCTCGACATAGAAATCATTGGTCACTACCCCACATAGATTAACCTTCTTCTTTCAACACTTCCAAACCAATTCTAAAATCAGCTGACTGATCTGTCATTACTTCATAATTTCATTCAAAAACCTCACGTGCAGAACTTCATCAATTACATTCAGGAAATGAATTATATGCACTGGACAACCCTGGACCACAGTGTGTTACCCCCTCAGAGAATTCCTGTCAATTAGTGAAATGTGACCAATTGATTCTAAATCCATAATATTCCTTATGACCTCTCCAGTCATTAGCTAAACATTGATAGGGTCTTGTAAAATATTCAAACATTTCTCCACTGATGTTAGACTGACTGGTTTATTTTCTATGACTTATTGTTCACCCTGCTTTCCATGTCGGGATAAGGTTCTCTATAATTCAGTTCTCATGTTCAACCCTGGTATTTGTGGATCTCAAAAAATATTAATCAATTTTTTGCCTGTTTTCTTAGAGATTAGTAGAAAGCGAAACATGCAGGACAAGCACATACCTAAGTGCAGCAGGGACATATAAATATGCATGAAATGGAGCAAAAGGAAATGTTCAACCTACATATGAAAATTTGCCTGTAGTAGAATCCATAATCTCTCCCTGTAGACTCGACCTGCTTACCTAATTCCAGAGAGTATTAGGTGCAGGTTGGTAAGAGCTAAGGTTGGGAACCCCAGAATCTGGGTCCAGCTAAAACTGCCATTGAGAGCAATGCCTGACAAACTTCCTGCTGCTTGTTCAGGTAGGATTACGCTACTCACTAGACTAGCTTTCATTGTTCAGGATTAACGGGAATCAAATGCTCTCAGTAACCAGTCTGTCCCTCCCAAATTCTGCAGATATTCGAGGCTGACTGGTCTGTTGTGAGCAGTGCCTTTGAGGACTGCAAAGCTGCCTGGCTGAGGAACCAAGGAATGAGATTTCTGACGATCTCACAAGACATATTAAAGGAGCTATTAACCACTGGGAAGATTCTCACAAATTGGAATCAGGGCTAAGCATAGATCAGGACCTTCCTCATGACAGTGGAGCACAATTTCCTATCTCTGCTAGAACATAGGACATTAGACCTCTTTCAGAAATCACACAAGCTTAAAATGTTGACCTATACAGGCGTGTACTTTTTTCCTGGTAAATTAAATAGAAACTGCAGTTCCACAGTAAGAGCTATTAACATTAACTCCTGGCAGAACTGTAAAGTTTGGAGTCCTGTAGCTCAGTGGTTAGAGCACTCGCTTTGCAAGCGAGAGACCTGAGTTCAATTCCAGGCAGGGCGAAACCTTGGGCAAGTTTCCTTACTCCACACGCCTAATAATAATCCCTCCAAAACAAAACAATAATAAATTGGTCATTTTCAATCTACGACTGTTTGTGGGACATTGCTGTGCGCAATTGGCTGCCGCGTTCGCCCACAAATATACAGTCAATTCACTTTACAGTGTGTTCTGTGAAGCCCTTTGGGACGTCCTCCCGACGTGAAAAGCGCTATATCAAATGCAAGGATTATTATTATTATTAAAGCACCTATTACACAACATTACTCCAGTTTGCAGTTAAAATGAATTCATAGACCAAGCTGTTACCAGCAGGCCTTGGTGCACACACAATTAAAGAAAATGAAAACTGACCAAGGAGAACAATTTTCTAAAGTGTGTCAGGCTGGTTCAGTGATAGCACTCACACCTCTGAGTCAAAAGGTTGTGGGTTCAAGCCCCACGTCGGGACTTGAAACTCATAGTCTACGCTGACACTCCTGAGCAGTGCTGGTGGGTGTTGCATTGTTGGAGGTGCTATCCTTCGGATGAGACATTAAGCCAAGGTCCTGTCTGCCCATTCAGGAGGTCATGGCACTATTTGAAAAGAATAGGGAGTTTCTCCCTGTGTTCTGGTCAACAATCCCCCAAATAAAATGGGTCATTCACTTCTTGGCTGTTTGTGGGACATTGCTGTGCACAAATTGGCTTTTGCGTTCGCCCATGAACATAGTCTCTACACTTCACAGTAAATCATGTCCATCACTTTAGGATGTACCCCTAATGTAAAAGACACTCTACCAAATGCAAGG